ACTATTTTCTAGTTCAGGAGAATATCCCTGTATTTGATTCTCAGTAAAATGAAGATAAAGATATACCCATTTGAAATGTTTCGGATATTATATAATCAAACGTTTGGATTTTACTGTAGAATAGTTGCAAATAATGAATTAATTAAGCAAAATTAAAACGATCCAGTGAAAAGAATCATCAATTTAATGATGTCGTTTATTAAAACCATATATGATTGTTTATAATTACATTATACAGTATTTTATAATAATTTTCGTATGGCTGAGGCTTCAATAAACCTTAGCACATATTCTTTAACACTTGTACGACACTACAAAAGCCGTGTTAAAATCAATCTTGTGACCTATCTCAACGATGTATTTGACAATAGACGATGATAGATATTTATCATTTACTCTTATTGGGTCATTTGATTTTATTTGTTTCTGTAACCATTTAGGTACATGTTTACACACTTTAATTTGGAGATCACGATTACTGCTTCCTATGTATGTGTGGCAACACTCACAGTGGGATGTGACGCAATTGTTTTTATGTCTTTTAGGTTTCTGATGAAGCATCGACTTTGTTTCTTCCTTGAGAATAATTTTTTACTGAATAATACGTTTTGTCAATAACTGCTTAAGCTTTTGTTTCAATAAAAGACTATTTGAATCACCTCTAAACGGCAAGGTGATATAGACAGGCATTTTGTTTGTGCCAAGGCTATAATGGGTCTCACTATACCATGACCTTTCCATCGATTTATAAGTTTTAGAGGATAATCATTTTACATTATTGTTTTATTCAATAACCTAATGTCATCATTAATAGAGTCTTTTGTGCAAAGACGATTAATCTTGTTAAATAGACTTCTTGTTATATAGTTCTGATCATCTTCACCTTCTTATTATACCCTATCAAAATTTATCAAAGGGATTAATTGTTTCAAATTTCACATCTCTCTTCTATATTTAATTTGCATTTTGTCTTTGTTTTATAACACCTCAATCTTTACTGTATTTTACTTTTATTTTTAGTGTGGTCCATTCCTACATAATTTATTCTTGGCAGTAACATTAAGCTTCAATAAACAATTTCTTATACAACGCCTTTGTCAGGTAATATAACCAGGGTGTATATTATTTCTTAATTAGATATAAATATTGTTTCATTAAATGAAGTTCCATTCAAAAATGAAAAACTAAAACCAAATTGTTTATCAGTATAGGGTTGTGGAGATTGTTGAGTTTTGATTAAGATTATGAATCGACTAATGTTTGACCACCATTGAAAACGCTCAAGCACTGGATGGCCGTTTCGTTCTAGTATGGGACTCCTCAGCGTTCGCAAGCAAGACCGAAGGTTTTGAGTCCAATTCCCCCGTGTGCGAGGTCATGGATACATTTCTGAGGAGTCTCATATTAACACAAAACAACCATCCAGTGCTTTCAGGTTTTCCAATGGTGGTCCAAAATTAACTGATTTGTGATCTCAATGAAAAATAATATAATTGAACCGAGATTTAGTGGAATGCTGAGAATAAATGTAACTGTACACTTGAAATCTATTTTGATCCATGTCACATTCCTAACCATAAACTATTACACTGATACTAACAAGGAAGTGTGTATTTATAAACATGAATTATACTGACAGTTCAGTTCATAAAATTGTACCATCAATGAATGTTACACTAAACAGGGAGTTTTCACCTGATGGAATAAGTTATTACGGTGTAGTGAATAAGAACACCAGTGGGGGCAATCGAATGTATTTAACACTGAATTACAGGACTTGTTAATAAAATCTAACAATCATAAAGTAAGTGCTTAGTTTGCAAAATGTTCATTAATTGTCTCAAAATGACTCAGACTTCATTGTTCTTGCAATTGCATACAAATTGCATCCTGTTTCCATTCTTTACTGTTCGATCCTCTTGTCTCTCTGCTGTCAGACCCTCTGTTCACGACTAACATCAATATATATATGTATATATAACGTCAATATAAGTAGCACACACCACAACTGTTTCCATGATAAATTTTATTTTAGGCAGTTAAAATCCATCAAAGTATTTCGAAGTAAAGCCTGTCGAATATTCTATACGCCTAATTATCTCCTGGTTATGTAATAATAAATTACCACAGTACAACCATTTATTGATTTTATTATTCAGATTGTGAAGAGTCAATCAGTTAGTAACTTTGTTATAAAATAATTGATTTCCATCGGTGATTGTTATACATTTTAGTTTCCTTATAATTTCCTTTTTATAATAAGAACTTTTAAATCATTCAAATCTTTATCTGTTTTGTTTTTGGCTTTATGATAGAATGCTGGATTTTGTTCAAAAGTATAACACTTTCAATATGGATGAATAACATTTCCTAATGTAATCGACTATAATATGAAATATTGATTATTTTTCTGATTACTAAACAAATATACTGTTGAAATGTAAACAACCTTTTTGATAGTAGTATAGTAAATTATTATCAAATTTTACTACATCACTTATATTCAAGTAATTTTATTCTAATTGTTTAAATAGTTGTCTTCTAAAATAAATCCCCCCCCTAGGAGTTACTTACTAATTATTGATAAATGATTATTATACAAATTACTCAATCACTGTGAGTCAATATAAAATTCTTCTGTAACTCAGATACAAATTCATTAAAGAATATAAATTGTATAAATACTTAATTCAGGCTTGTTACTATATACCAAACTTACATAAGGATCAAGCTTATGACCTAAGAGTTTCTATCAATGACACTGATTTTTAACTTTCAATGTATATTCATTCTTAAATTTTTCATTAAGTAGTCGGGTCTAGATTTTAAAATTTATAGAAATCTTCGTTAATCAAAGTCAGTAGAAGTTTCGATAATACAATGAGAAGACGAAGTTTGAGATTATGGAGAAGATTTGTAGCTCAGGTGTTTGATTTTGGTGGAGTTTTGTTCTCTGAGCTGGATGGTTTGGTCGTGGAGCTTTCATCGTTCTTCTGAACGACATCATCAGCACAAACTTCAGATAGAAGACGAAGTTTATCAGAATTATGCGATATATTTGCGCAATACATTTCGAACAATCTGATAACACATATACTTGTTAAGAACATTTAAATGTGAAAATTAAAAGGTAGAGTAGAGACGAAGATCTTGACTGATACGTTAATGAATAATGGTTATTCTTTGAAGTTCATAAACCGCTAGAAGGGTTACAATACGACTAGATCTATGACGCTTCTGGCACCCAAAAAGCGAGTTTATATTACGTTACCATTCAGAGGAGACACAAATAGTCTCATGCTGAAACGGAGACTTAAATTAGCTATCAACTGGACATTTTACGCAGCCCAACTTGTCATTATCGAAAATACAAGGTCTATGTTTCACCAAAAGCCCGAACTACACGAAAGTGATTGCGTCACATCCCATTGTGTCTATCAATTTACATGTATGTGTGGAAACACGTACATAGGGAGGAGCAATCGTGATTTGTAATTAAGGGTGGGTGAACACATACCAAAATAGTTGCAGAAACAAATAGATTCCAATGGTCAAATAAGATCACATGATAGACAGGCATCATCCTCCATTGCGAAACATTTGATTGAGACGGGTCATATAGTTGACATCAAATCGGCATTTATAGTGTTATACAAAAGCCTTTAAGGACGTATACTAAGGTTTATTGAAGCCTTGGCTATACGGAAATTGAAACCCCCTTTTGTGTCCAAAATCAATTTGTCCTTACAATTAACCTACCCTGGTAATACTATTTATTGTCCAGAGTGGTACTTTAATATTTCTCCTTTGTTATGACTTACCCTAAACCTGTCTAGTTGACCTTTTAATTTTCATATATAAATGTTCTTAACAAGTATATATGTGTGATCAGATTGTTCGAAATGTATTGCGCAAATATATCATATAATTCTGATAAACTTCGTCTTCTCATTGCATTATCGAAATTTATCAAAGAGACTAATTGTTTCAAATTTCAGTAGAAGTGATTAATCAGACTTTATATCTGACTCCATAATATTACAGTTACAAATCAATCTATGAAGTATTCTAAAAACTGAAGAAAACTAAATTTTGTGTTCAGTCAAATTCATCACCATAAATTCTTGAATTTTAACTTATTCATCACTGATAACGGGCAATTCTTATTTCTCTTATTTCTAATATCAAGTATAGAAGTCATTGAGAAACTATTAAGGAAAGGAAGGCTATCAGGACTCAGTAGCTGAGTGGATAACGCGATGGCGTTTGAAGCGAATGGTACTGGGTTCGAGTCCCAGAGTGAACACCAACTCCGAGATGCAGGTACATCCAACTGACGAGTTCCAAATAGGACGAAACGCGCGTTCTGGATTCCACTACTAGCCACTATCCATCATTGTTTACAAAAAGCTTATGAATTAAGGCAATATCGAGGCATACGCACAGTATGCACATGTGCCAATAACAGACTAATCAATTGCAGTCTTAAACCTCAATGGGAAGATACAAGCCAAACAATACCAAGTGAATTTAATACTCTTAGGTTTATAATTATCTTCTATTGATTAGTTATTAATTCAATAGATTATGATTTAATTTTAATTATCAGAAGGGGTTTTGTGGAGATATTAGAAATTTCACTGATTGAAATCATGAGTCAATTGAAGCTAGACCACCACGGAAAACCTGGAAACACTGTACGGCCATTTCGTCCTAGTATGGGACTCCTCAGCAGTGCGCATCCACGATCAAATCATTTAACTTTATTATAAACATAAAATAATCAATGAAAAGATTCTCTTTATGATTAATTCTCTGATTAGTATTATTCTAAATATCTATAGAGTACTTGATATGGTATGAAACGTTTAGTTAAAATTCATAATATTAAAGATTTATTTATCATTAAAATAAAAAAAACAAAAGATAAATCATTAACTTTTCACTGTATTCAATGAATTCAAGATCCACAGTTTCATGTATTTATTGAACTGAATTGTCTATTTTCTATAACATAAATACCAACCCTGAAATAGAAAATATTAAAAATTAATTTAATACTTTATAGATACAAGATACAGTAATTTCTTCGCATAAAATTTTGATGATGATGAGTTTAATAACCAAGTAAAGGTTTAACCATTCGTTTTTCTACTAAAATGATGGGGGGGGGAGAATGACATAAGTGCTGAAACTGATATATTAAATACGAATAGAAAAGAATAGTATTAATTGGTTCCAGGATCCTAATTACTTACTTACTAGATGTGTCTCCTAATATCTCTTTATAAAGTTGTTAACTAGACCTTGACGACAAGGATTTAGTAGGCGGTAAACGAAGAAAACTACTTGTATAGGTTCAAGTTTCAGGGTATTATCTCAGCATTTACAAAAATAATGTGAAATATCAAATAAATCTACTCTATATTAAAAACGAATTGATTTTCAAGTAAGTATCAAGATTATTGATCGAATCCAATTAAAACTGTTTGGTGCCATACAAGTCTGAATTAAACACATAGAAACTTATAACAATGATTGTCATAGACATTTGCATAATCAAATGAAAGTTCCTAACAAAAATGGATTAACTTATTCACAAACACTTAAATGAAGATGATGATGATGATGATCACTACACGCTTACAATGTTTATTTCCATAGAAAAAGTTTCTTTATATTAGAAAATGATCATCTTCAATGTATTAGATTATCATGGGATTACATCCTATATGTTACTACATACACAAAAAATAAAACAATTCATGTCTATACCGCTCATGATTATTGATTGTTGTAATAGGTAAGTAAAGAGGAATGAAATGATGTGATTGTTCGTGTTTTTAATCATTTTGATTAGGGTTACTTTTCAAAGAAATGAAACCTTCACATCAATATTTCAACAAGAAATATACACTCATTGGTGATTATACTTAAAACAAAACAATAACGTTTAGAAATTAAGATACAACATGTATAACGTCATAGGTTTATAATTATTTCAAGGAAGATCTCCTGGAGTATTGAAAAATTTCCTTCAATTATTTTTATTCTGAGTATATTAGCTGTCATGAGGAACTGTGTATTATCATATATAATTATTATAAATATCATTGATGATTTTGGTGGAGTTTTGTTCTCTGAGCTGGATGGTTTGGTCGTGGAGCTTTCATATATGGTGAAATTCGAACACTTCACTTCTACTTGAAGTTTTTGCTGATGATGTCGTTCAGAAGAACGATGAAAGCTCCATGATCAAACCATCCAGCTCAGAGAACAAAACTCCACCAAAATCATCCACTAGAGCTACAAATCTTCTCAAAATCATTGATGATTATTGTTTGTTTCAGCCTTTGATTTACAGAAAAATACTTAATTACTATCTAATGGGATTTAAGTTTCTTCAGTCAGAAGTTCGTTATATTTCCAAATAAAATTCCCGTAAATTAATCACTAGATTAGTCCAGTATCATCAATTTTAATGATAACTGACAGATATACTGAATACAGATGACTCTCAAGTAAATAGAAATAATCAAGTTACTTAAAGTTCCCGCATATTTCAGAGTTTAATTCTTGTTCTCAACATTACACATAGAATGTCATATTTAATGTTGAAAGATTTTACTGGCGAGACTATAATTTATGGACGAGCCAATCAGATTTACGATACCAGGTCTTGGATTTTTGGCGCTTAACTCATTTATCCATTTGGCTTAATAGAGTTTTGGCATTATAGCTTATGTTAGTTCGTGATCAAAACCCTAAATCTTATTCCTAACCCTAACCATCAACTGTTAATCATAATTCGAATTTATCACACCGGTTTATAGCCATCATTTAGTCCTAGTTAGTAGATGAACATTCTCAAGGTCATTTTAACGTCACTCAAAGGTCGTTCATAAATTATAGTCATACCAAATGTTTTAATCATCTTCTGATTGAGTATCTTTAAGGATTTAACTGACAGTGAAAATATATGTAAACACTTTTAAATCTCTTAACAAAGCTATTCATTATTTTTTTATTGAGATCATGAAACGATTGATGTTAGTCCACCCTTGGAAACCTGGAAGCACTGAACGGTCGTTTCGTCCTATTGTGGGACTCCTCAGCAGTGTGCATCCACTATCCCAACACGCGGGATTCGAACCCAGGGCCTTCGGTCTCGCGCGCGAACGCTTAACCTACTGGACCACTGAGCCGGCATCCAGTGGTGTCTAACACCAACCAATCCATTCATTATTTGTCAATGATAAAATTGAACAAGATTTAAACTGATTCCTTTCCTATTGGATTGAAATATTTAAGTAGTAATTATAACTAAAAGTGGTTTCTAAGCGCAATCGTTATCTTTTTTTATGATGAATTTATATATTTTAAAGAAATTTTGATAAATATCTAAATAAAAACTACATACTTCACAAGATACCGATGGATCGATTTGGGCTATAGATTTATTAATTGCTTTAAACATTGTAAATGTGACTAGGGCTACACACTACAAAAATATAAAGAAAATATATAAACATTTGAGTTATTATTATTACTGTAAATACTTCTGTTCATATTGATACTACTGTATAAGAAGGAAATGAGTAGAAGGAATATATGTTTATTGTAAGCAGTTACAAAACACTTACGCAATACATATATACATGTTTGTATCCTTCGGTGTATACTTCAATCTGAACTGTTTTACCGTCTGATCTTCAAGTATTGTGATGACGCTGTGCTTTGGTTATACTGAAACTCTTTATTCTGTCCAACAACTTCAACGTCACGTTTCGCAACATACTACTTACAAGAAATCTTGTGAGTAGCATCTACTACAGTACTAGTAATAATAATATTAGTAGTTCATTTTTGCAATGTTTATTTGAATCTTCCCAATGATGTTTAGGATAGCATTTGATCAGTCTCATATTGGAATGTGTGGACCCTATGCGGATTACATCGACATTACTTCAAGTCACAAGCATTATAAGTAAATATAATGGTGGTTAACAGTAGTATCCAGGACGCACGTTCCTTCTCATTTAGGACTGGTCAGCTGGATGTACCTGCATCCCAAAGTTGATGTTCACCCCGAAACTCGAATAATTACCACATAATTCAATTATCTAGTGCGGTAATAGTCAGTAGAATAAAGTTTTTAATAAACTGTCTATCAAATCATGCCAAGTAAATAATAATTAATACTTTCATTACACTACTTAAAATCAATACTTACTCTTCAGGTTCGTAATGTAGACGAATGGATTTTAAAAATCTAGGTAGTAATCAAATCTTTTGTTTTCATTCATTTTACACAACATATATATCTGTGATGATATGTGAAATATCTGAAATACTATTAAGCCAAGAGATAATTAATCTTGATATCACATGGAATACTCGACTATACATTTATGTTGTAATTTGATCTTTGCACAACATCTATTGACCAGTCATTTTATCTTATTAAAATAATAATTTTAATTTGAAATGGCGTGTAAAACTTGTTCAGTAAGAAAGGAAAATTCACAGACTAAAAGTAGGGAACATGAATTACATTTAAACCTTCATTTATCTACTTTGATTTGAGGAACTAATTAGTAGTATAACTAGTCATTGCATAACTAGTGAAACTCAAGTCCAAACACTTGAAATATATGCTTAGTCAATGAGTTATTAACACATTATCATCGACATTTGTGATAACTACTATCAATAATTATTACACCATATATGCTGGGCAGTTCCTAATTTAGTACAGTAGGTAAATATTGTATGAAATCACTTAATACTTATTCAAAACTTCCAAGATATGAAATGCATTTAGGTACTCGGTATAAATGAACAATTATATCAACTCTTACTGCAAGTATAAGGTAAACTTTTCAATCAATCCACTGATGATACAATAACCTGGATTATAACTTCTTTCATCTATATACTAGAGCTGATTATTTTGTTTGATTCACCTCTTACTGTGTGATTCATTAACGTTTTTTATGAATTAATAGATTAAATTTGTCTATTTATCAAGTGACTCTGGTTTGACGTAAATTAAGTGCCTGAAAAACGTTCTGAGTATTCTTGAGCTACCTCAACTTTAGAATTCTCATGCTTCCTCAATCACATTCATGTACTCAGTCGTCCGAAAACACCGACACAATCAGCGACATTTCCTACTATTACTAGACTATGTACATGCACATGTATATGCAGCCGAAGTCCACTTTGTTCAATGTATTGTTTGCTGAACTTAGTTTATATATGATATAGTGTTCGCTTTTCTTTGATAATGAGGTGGCTCAGTGGTTAAAGCGTTTAACTTTTAGCCACTAATCCCATAATCAAAACTTCTCCATCTATTTCGATCTAGGTTTCTGGGTAGTATCACTAGACCTCACAATCAAAGTGTGGCTGAAAGCCAAAGACGTTAATTAATACCTTTCAAATAAATTAAGAGATAACTTCATTCACTGTTATGTCTTTCAGTTTGCGTAAAGTGGATTGACATGATATTATTGCGTTGCCCCGTCAGCGACACAGTCTGCTAGATTCTCGTATACGCTTTCCAGGTGTGAATATGTGGACCTTCTAGATCTATTTTGTTGAAGCTTCAGAGATATCAAGCTCCGCGTGTAGCTCTTCTAGGGCTACCGCTAGTTCCAAGCCCACAAAAGGAGGGGGGTTGGGCGTGGGGTCGACAACCCAATCCCGTAAGAGAACCTTGCTAAAAAACGCTAACGAAATTAGACAAATTAAACTATTTAAACTCTCTCCTCCAAGTTGAAGGATTTCTATTCAGAGGAATTATGACGCCACAAGGTGAAAGCCGAGACTCTTCGGAAGTCACGAGGCCGATATCCTTCTAACAACCAGAGAGACATACATGAAATGTCCGGACAATGTGGGAGACCGAGAGGACTATTCGAATAGCTACAAAATGGGGAGATACAACTTGATGGTGCTCGGAATCAGTGAAATACGTCGGACTCAAGCTGGACAGAAAAGGATGAATTCAGGGAAGATGTTGCTGTACTCCGGTCATGAAGAGGAAAATATTTCACACACTTAGGGCGTTGTTCTGATACTGTCCAAACAAGCACGAAATGCACTTATAGGATGGGAATCTCATGAACCCAGAATCATCAAAGCATTATTCAAAACAAAGAAGGAGGGAATCATAATGAGTGTTATCCAATGTTATGCATCCACCAATGATAGCAACAACGACAATAAAGATCAGTTTTATGAAAAGCCCCAATCGATGATAGCGAAGTGTCCAGGAAAAGACCTGATCATCTTGATGGGAGACCTAAACGACAATGTTGGAACACACAACACTGGATATGAAGATACCATGGGACAACATGGACTGAGAGAGAGAAAAATAAAAATGGTGAGAGATTTGCAAACCTAGGTGCATTCAACAAATTGGTTTTAGCTCGCACAATATTCCCACACAAATGCATACACAAAGCCATATGCATCTCACCGGATCACATAACGAGGAACCAGATCGATCATATTTATATCAATAAAAAATTCAATAGGATTATGGAAGATGTGAGAATCAGGAGAGGAGCTGACAGCTTCAGATAACCACCTGGTTATGGTCAAGATGAAACCGGATCTAAAGAAAAGCCAAACAGCTGGGAAGACAGCAGTACGAAGGTTCAATACAGCCTTCCTACGAGATACTGTCAAACTCAACGAATTCAAGATAACTCTCAACAACAGGTTCCAGGTCTTACACGATCTACTGTAAGAAGAAGAAACTACGATGGGAGACAACTGAAAAGGGACCAAAGAAGAATCAACTCCAACGTGTCAAGAGGTACTGGGCCGCAAGCAGGAATGGATCACTATTTATACTCCGGGCAGGATTCTAGAAAGGAAGAATAAGAAGACAACAATTAACAACAACCGTACAAGGCCAGAGAAGGTCAAGGCATAAGCTGAATACACAGAAGCAAACGCTTTTATTTTGAGATCGAAAGGCAGATCTCTGTAAGGATCGGTCATGCACAGACCAAATCGGGACACTACGAATCATCTTTGAACAATCATTTGGATGGAACTTGTCACTACACAATAACTTCTTTCACCATGAGGAAGCAGTCGACAGTGTGGATAGGAGCACATTATGGAAACTCCTTCAACACTATGGTGTACCTGAGAAAATTAATAATATTATATGAAATTCATGCGACGGACTACAATGTAAAATCATGCATGGAGGATGGCTAACAGGTCGGGGTCAGACAAGGCTGCCTACTCTCCCCTTTCCTCTTTCATCTGGTGACGATCGACTGCATTATGAAGACCTCCACATCTGGGGGGAAGCATGGAATATAATGAACGGCTTGAAATCAACTAGGCCATTTGAACTTCGCAGATAATCAGGCCCTCCTGTCTCATACACATCAACAAATGCAGATCAAACCAAACAGTGTGGCAGCAGCATCTGCATCAATAGGCCTCAACATACACAACGGAGAAAGCAAGATTCTCGAATACAACATAGAAAACACCAACCCGATCACACTTGATGGAGAAGCTCTGAACGATGTAGGATCTTTCACGTACCTGGTCAGTATCATCAATGAACTAGGAAGATCGGTTGCAGACGTAAAGCGAGGATTGGTAAAACAAGGACAGTATTCCTACATTTGAAAGACATATAGAACTAAAAACAACGGCCAACCAATATCAAACTATGAATGTTCAGTCAGAACGTCAAGACAGTCCTACTGTACGAGCTGAAACTTGGAGAACTACAACAACCATCATCAAAAAGTTACAAGTATTTATAAACCGTTGTCTATGCAAGATAATCAATGTCGGTTGACTGGATATCATCAGGAACAACCTACTGTGAGAGAGAACGAACCAGCTTCTAGCTGAAGAGGAAATTGGGAAGAAATCTGGGTAGATTTGAACGAATCATATAAACAACCTTAAAATCAATTTGTGGATCTGTTGAATGGTTATAGTCGATTAGGTGTTCAGGAATAGAACTCCTAACTGCTTTCCTTTCACCCTTATAGAACCCGGCTGGGATATGTTCTCGTATCCGAGTTGAAAGTAGCCAGCGCTCGCTTTCAACTCGGATACGAGAACATATCCCAGCCGGGTTCTATAAGGGTGAAAGGAAAGCAGTTAGGAGTTCTATTCCTGAACACCTAATCGACTATAACCATTCAACAGATCCACAAATTGATTTTAAAATTGGGAAGAGACGCATGAGGTGAATAGGAAGTACATTGAGAAAGTTATCAAACTGCATCTCGAAGCAATCCCTGATGTGGAATCCTGAAGGTAAATGAAAAAGATGAAGGTCGAAGAAGGCACTGTATCGGAAATTGAAAGCAGACATGAAAAGGATGAATAGCAACTGGAAATGATTTCCCAGGACAGAGTTGGATGGAGAATGCTGGTGGGCGACCTATGCTATTCAACGAGGAGTAACAGGCCCAAGTAAGTTAAGGATACCCGTTCGTTGTGTAGAATGTAAACTAACGGTTGCTAATTAAACTGACATATTCCACGAACGAAACACTCTCAGTAACATCCATATGAATTATAAACCATTTTTACGAGTGTAATAATAAAATTGTGTCAATAATTTACATTATTTATATTTATTTACTATAATTATGCAACTTTGTGATTGATTATTGATATAAAAAAGCATAATTTTTATAACAACGTGAAATGATTTATCAGATATGGTACTTTCATCAAATTACTTTATATCACTAAAGTTATGTAACTCCGCAGTGAAAATAACCTAGGTGAGTTTATTTTCGTTTAGTCAGACACTAAGAAATTTACGTTCATCGATGTTCATTTTTCTTCTTATGAAACATTTAGTTTGTCAATTATTTATTTTATTTTTGATTGAGGTCATAAATCGATCAGTGTTAGACCACCAGTAAGAACCTGGAAGCATTGTCCGGTTGTTTCGTCATCATATGGAACTCCTCATTAGTATGCATCTACAATCCTTCACGGGTGACTCGATTGTCTGAGGTAGGTGCCAGTCACTACTCAACACGGATTGAACTCCATCAATCGCAGTTTCTCACTAGAACTCCGAGAATTGTCACGCGATTTCGTGGATTGGTTGAAGTTAGACATTAACACCATTGTATACCAGCTCAGTGGTCTAGAAGTTAAGTGTTCGAGTATGAGATCGAATGTCCTGGTTTCGAGTCCCACGTGCAGAATCGTAGGTGTGCACTAATGAGGAGTTCCATACGAGAACGAAAAGGCCTGGTAGTCCAACACTGATCGATTCATAATCTCAATCAAAACTCAACAATCTCCACAACCCTACACTGATAACTTATTTTATTATTTGGTATCGTATCAAAGTTATAAATCGAGATAGTTATTGCTATTATTGGCAATTCTAACGTTGTAGTTTCAATGAGATAAAACTGAAGATCTTCATGTTTTCCACAGAATACTGTTGTATAAAAAAATCAATAGTATTAACTCCTAAATTTCATTTACTTAGCATCTTTGAAATTCTCTGAGATCCTCAAACAACACACTTCAATCCTCTTGAAATCTTATCAAGAAAAGATCTATCATTTACATATGGTAAAACATTTAGTTTTAGATTAATATTACTAAAATAACAATTTAAAGAAAATCTAATTAATTAACTCAACTCACTTGATCACGAAATGGTCCTATAAATTCACAGATATTAATTAATTTTTCTTGTAAACGTTCAAGTTTAGTATGATCCAGAAACAATGACATGGCGGAATTATAAAATTTCAAACATACTCCACATACTGAAACAGACATATAACAAATAATAATTTACAAAATATATGGATTATTGATATAAACAATGAAATAAGTGTTAACAAAGCTTAAAGGAATAAATTTCTCCTAAATACGAACTTAAATGACTGACTAAACTAAACCATCCAACAAGAATTAGATACAAATAAAGTTAAACTTGGTTGGATAATCATGGAAAATCCGGAAACATATGATAGGCGTTTCGTACCTTTATAGGAATCCTCAAAAGTGAGAACTAACGGACATCATATTGTTTTGAAACCGTTGAGTTAGAATCATTTAGTTTTCCAATCCCAACCTCATGGAATTTATGGCAGTGCAACATTATCATTGATTTCCAAAGCGATAAATATCTTATGTTCGTATTTGATATTCTACAGGTTATAGCTTCTCACCAGAATATATGAAGTTCTTCTAAACGTTATCTATTGATTAAAATACGTTTATTATAGAGATTAAAGGCTTGTAACAATTAGCCCACATCATAAACCAGCTTAAGTTAAACAACTATTCAAAGAACCAGGAGCATTTTGAACAGTTATTTCATCCCTTGTAAAAGAATCCACTTCAGTACACAATCAAAACATATTTGAAATATTTAAATTCATCATAAGAATGATTTCAAGACTTTTGACCAGAAATTCATTTTAATCTACGAAAACTTACCTCGTTCCATCTCTAGGAGTTTTTTAGTTAATATTCACCTTTACCATGTCATTGACGACTTGTGTTTTATTTTTCTACTAGCGTGTTTTTCTGTTGTTATAAAATTTAAGATTTAGTGTATTATCGAATCCTTCAGTACATTACTTTTTCTATCCTTCTATCTTTCATCTGGACTAGATGTATATCTGATAACTCATCTCATTATATAATGCGTAGAAATCAATCTCTATAATTCTTATATTTATGACATTGTAATTTGAGTACAGATTTTACAAACAGACAACAATCGTTAAAACAACTTGTTGGAATGGATCAAGTGTAAAACTGTTTTAATATCTATCAGTTTGTGCACATAGATTTGTTAAACTTAGTCTTTTAGTTATGAAACATAAAGTTCTTGTGTTCCATTTTGCAACTTTCGGTAGATTTCCTTTCATCATAATTGTGTGTGGGCTGTGATACTGCCCGGGTGCCCAGACCGAAGCAGGTGGTTTTCTTAGGGGGTCACACTCCGAGCATTTGACCTAAAAGTCCGACCCACAAGGCAGTGGAGTATCGTGAGAAGATGCAGTCACATGGTAGCCAGTGACCAGCGGTTGGTTCATACGCCATTTGTTCCCTCAGGATACTAAAGCCCATGTGCACCATTGGTTTGAGATCCGGTTAAAGCGCTGGACATTCGCTTTTCGTCCACTCATTTTCGTAAACAACACCCGTGGTACGAGAAGGCAGTGAGTAGGACTTCCCTGGCAGAGGCTGTATACGCATGACCGTGTGAGAGCATTTCGAGAAGGAGGGCGAGCCCACCCCACTCTTGGCCGTACCAGCGCATTTGGGGGCCTAAACAATTGTGACGAACTGTCTATATTTATGGAAAATATTATTCTTGCTGCGATTAACAATCAAATGATCCACATTATTATTATTATTATTATTATTATTACTAATATTATTATTATTATTTACTACGTCATTTATTCTCTCTCTTTAATTCCCACTCTGTGTATCCTTATTTTTCGATTTATACAGCAGCTCGCCTATGGTGGGTAGCTGCATAAGTGCTGGTGGTGGCGTGAGTGATGAGATCAATGCTCGTATGGTGAAAGCCAGAGCGGCTTATTCCAATCTGGGCCATCTTTGGCGCCTTCGTGATGTTAGTCTGGCTGTAAAAGGTCGGATCTACAACGCGTCGGTGAGAACAGTTTTGCTCTATGCTTGTGAAACTTGGCCTCTCCGAGTTGAGGACGTTAGACAACTCTCTGTGTTTGATCATCGTTGTATCTGAAGGATTGATGACATCCAGTGGCAACACCATGTTAGTAATGCAGAGGTTAGGCATCGTGTGTCCGGGTACAGAGACGATAATGCAATTAGTGTCACCATCTTGAAACACCAACTTCGGTGGCTTGGAAATGTTCTACGAATGTCGTCCCAGAGAATTTCACGTCGTGCATCATTTGCCGACGCTGGGACTGGTTGGAAGAAGCGGAGAGGTGGTCATTGTATGACTTGATGTCGTGGTATGAAAGAATGCTGCAAAGGACTGGCTTGTGTTGGTCCTTCACGACTCCCTGGCTGGGGTCCGAGAGATAGTACAACACAGCGGCTATAGACGTTATCAGATATGGCTGAGAATAGAAGCCAATGGCGATCCTGCTGTAACCTTCTTTTACTTTCTTCGTAAAAAGTGTTTGCTTCTTCCTTAACTGAGAGATTTCTTCTGATTGTACCTTTTCGTTTCCCGCATTATTATTATTACACTACCTTACACTAATCTTTTCGTTATCGTCTTTTTTACGCTCCTTACTTTTTCTCCTTCTTCTCTTCGAATTCTCATTGTTTTGTGTGGCGCATATGTATTCGGTGCTTTCTTGTACCAATATTTATGTTTAAATAAATAAATAAAAAAGATTTTCATTTATTCATAAGTTCGGAATGTCATTTTTCAGCATTCAGTTTCATGAACACTCTCAATCTATAACTGTTCAAGATAGAAATTCTATTTGGATTTACTAATACAATCAATCAAGTATTACAATAATCAAATCAGTAAGAAACTAATGGATTGAAAAATATCCGTTAACAGATAACTTATAGATCAAAAGTCAGTATACCAAAGAAATCTTTCTCAAATGACAGTAGGATAGATCAATTTAAATATGTAGCATAACTGAGATACGCAATATTAGTAGTAAATACGGGCTCAAGTTGTTTCAAATATTTTGCATATTTAGGTATTAAATACTTTCCTAAAATTAATAGTCTTCAAAAGCTTTCATTATGATTTGATTTGTGAGGCAATTATGCATACATGTTATCCAGAATGATCATGTATGTCATCAGTAATCATCTCAAATCTATTCAGACTTGCACATGTGTAAATGAAAACAAATCGACGGATTATCCAATTTCACAGGATTAGTCACAGACTAAGATTACTTAGACAACCAATCAAAGATTAAGCTCTCTTTGGGAAGTCTGAAAGTCTTTGATTTGATCATTGATGAGGTTGTGGATGAGGATTTCTGTAAAATCCTGTTCTAGAACAAAACAATTGCTTCTTCAGTAGTTTAGCATCAGTCTGTGATGCAAAACTACAAAATACAACTGATAATAAGTTACTACCGAATAATCAACAACATTTTCCCTTCCAATGTTTATTAATCAACTACTCGTAATCCTTAATAATTACAGTTTAACATGAGATTATCAACTTCAGCAAGTTACACTCGGAATGTAATTTATTACTGATGGATGTTGGATTTCAATTATACAAATATATATATATATATATATATATCTTCGTATTGATTTAGTACAGTTAATAATGATGATATCAGTATATCAGTAGATATACAGAAATTGAATGAATCACATACTTGGCATATCAATCCAGAGGTAGATAATTAGAACACAACTATTACCACACTAACTGTTTTAAAGTTTTCTTATATTAAATAGTCAAATTATAGCTTTAATAAATACTGATAAAGATCAATGCAAATCTTAAATGAATTCAATCATTGTAAAGTTTCTTTAGTTATAACCATCGTGGGTTTGAGTATAAATGAATGTTAAATCATTTGTCATTTGACTAAAGTAGTAAAACATTTATGTAGATTATTATGTGACAATTTGTGAAAATAAACAAAATCAAGGGATCTTACTTACTGATTCACATGATCATGTATCTATTCTCTTATTTACACATATATGTAGATTGATTGATAGATATGAAATGAAAACTGTTGGTCTATAGTTTTACAGTTGAGTTACATATAATAGAAAATTATCTACAAACTATGAATAGAATCCATTTCTTCACCGTAGTAAGTATAACCGAGATGCATATGAATATGTACATTAACGGATCATTGTTTTATGACCACTGTCATAGTTCTGTATGAATTCTATCTAACAGGTTGTAATGTGGTCATTAGTCTAAGTGACTCAAAATCGTTTTCACTATCTTTTAATGCTAGATGATCAGAAGCAATCGTCAGGAAACACTGATATTAATTTCTGACATAGTCATTTATAAATTCATAAGTAGTTTAATAAACCATTGTTTAAGTCAATCAAATGGCATGATGAAGCTTTAATGTGCGACTAAAGTCTTAAAACAATAGCAATCATTTTAAACATGATGGTTACCTGTAAGAGAATAATTTATTAACGGTATATGCAAATGTGAAATGTATTTAATGTTTATGGGTGACCGTATGAACAGTCACTGTCTTTTTACAACAATGCTAGGATTTTTGTGTCGGTCGTTCTGAATATATTGATTGAGAAAACTAAAATTGAATTCAAATATATACGCATTGCATAAGCTAGTGGGTAATTAAACTCAATAGCCCAGTGAATAATGCGTTACTTTCAGAAGGGGTTTTCTGGAGATTGTAGTAATTTCAATGGTTAAGATCATGAGTCAGTTGAAGCTAGACCACCATGGAAAACCTGGAAGCACTGGACGGCCGTTTCGTCCTATTGTGGGACTCCTCACCAGTGCGCATCCATGACCTCGCCCCCTGCGAGGTTCGAACCCAGGACCTACTGGTTTCGCGCGCAAGCACTTAACCACTAGACCACTGAGCCGGCATCCAACGGTGGTAATGTCTAACTTCAACTAATCCACCAAATTGAGCGACACATCCACCATTGTCTTCAACGAGTTACTATCTCACAACTGACCTGGTTGAACTCCACTGTTCATTACTTCTCACTAGAACTCCAGGATATATCTCTTGAAGCCAGTCACTAGTGAGCATATATTGATTAGTATCAGAAGGGGTTTCATGGATGCGCACTGCTGACGTGTCCCACAATAGGACGAAATGGCCATCTAGTGCTTCCAGGTTTTCCATGATGGTCTAGCTTCAATTGACTCATGATCTCAACTGATGAAAATACGTTAGTTGTTTGAAGCAAAATGCAATTGGTTCAAATCTCAATGTGAACATCATTACAAGAAGACAAGTATATCTAGATAACCAGTACCAAATAAAACGAAGCCTGCATCATGTATGTTACTACTAAGCACATTCCATCTTTTCGTTAAAAACTTGTGACATAATGGCTATATTGAAACGACTTTTACAGAAAAAGCACATACGAACTAAGGCTGATTACAATTCAGTCAAGAATACAAACAGCGGGATCATTCAAACTATGACAAGTTAAATTAGATACCATGCTTATTGATATTAACAAATGTTTAGATCATATAGGTATGTGGAATGGTTATTGACATTCAACTACTGGTTTGCAGTTTTGTAAAGTCTCACTTCAGTGAAAGCAGTCTTGGTGTATCTGCAAATCATTCAAAAATATGTTATTTAACGTCAAATAAATGAAACTTTACTTGATTACCAGCTTGGATATAAATATATACATACAACCGAAAGAGGTGAATTTTAATCTAAATGAAATACACGCTGTCATAAGCTTTCATTAATGTGGCTTCAAAAATATCTGAAACTTCTATAGAGAATGTCGAAACATAGTTATGACACTTTTTCTAACTAAATTCCACAAATATAGTATTTAAGCTCTCACAAGAAGACGGATGATATCTCGAGGATCCAGATGAATCTTACTGAATAGCTTAAAAATGAAATGAAACGTGTATTACAGAATTCATATTGATTGTAACATCGACTGATTAGTAAGGAGTGATCGATTTCATGTTTATTTGTTCTTTTAGTGCTAATCTAATTCTAACTATCGAGATCATATACGACCGATTGTCTAAGTGAATAGTTATCAATGTGTTCTATGTTTGATATTAAGTGATCGAAAGTAGCCTGAGCTGTCTTGAATCATATAGAGACCACCAGTTCCTTCAAGGTTATGTAACTGTAATATTTGATGGCTTGTCCATTTAAATAATGAATTATTCAGATCAGATATACCACTGCTGAGAATTCTATATTGTCTAAGGTGGGTTTGAGTTTAACCGGAGGAACTAGTTGCTTTAAAGTTGCATGTACGTCTATATGAACAGCACTAAATATCCTAAAATCTAGGTCAAAAGCTACATACTAAATGCCTATAACAATTTAACGTTTATAATAATTATTTCTTGGGGAAGAAGGTCATGTATATCACTGTGACTAAATAAATTTCAGTTGCAAGACAACGGAAAGTATAATTAATTTATATTAAAGCACACAATGAGCTTCAAAAATTTTCTATAGAGTTAGACTAGTCTCACATAGATTTATTTTACTATTTAATCAATAAAATGGTGATTTTTTATGAATAAGTCATCATTTAAATGTACGTTATTTTGATGGAATTTTGTTCTCTGAGCTGAATGATTTGATCGTAAAGCTTTGATCGTTCTTCTGAATGATGTGCTGATGATGTCGTTCAGAAGAACGATGAAAGCTCCATGATCAAACCATCCAGCTCAGAGAACCAAACTCCATCAAAATCATCCTTCTAAGCTACAAATCTTCTCCACCAACTGTACATTAACAATTGATTAATATTGAAGTTATGATAGTTGGAAGTAGCTTATCTGTTGATAAGTTGACAAGAATATTCAATGTTAAATGAAGGCTATTTTAGCTCATTGTCACAATGTATTAAACATTCAGTTTGTTTTAGTTGTTATAAGTTCTCAATATAAACCGCCTTCAATGTATCCTATGTTAGTATAAGGAATATTAGATTGTCCTGATAACTAAAAATATGTCTTGAACACTTTTATATTACAATTTTATTTCGCAGCGATCTATCGAATAACACTCTATCATTTGCAATTGATTGATCAATGAGTGATGACCAATGTCACACATGTCAAATTCTTCTTAGTGCTGGTAAAATTTTGTCAGTAAGTTTTTAATGTGGCCACTTATTTCACTGGTTAGATAACTCGTGTACTATATTCAGATGTATGGTAGTGGTTGAAGGTAACCGATAAGAAAACCCTGGACATGTGTTTCATCTTATATGGCACTCATCATCAAGGTGTACCTGTACTCCTAAAAGAACTGATCCTTCTGGTAGGATTCGACCACTTCACAGTCAGGGGCATTACCACTGATCTATTACAACCGCGAATGACCTTCTGAACAACAAACAGATGAATTTACGATTGACTGACCACTGAGTAGTAATCAGTCCTATGTACTTTATATCTTCCTTATTGTTGATCAGATTATGTCGATCAAGTTAACCTAATAGCTCAATAGTAATGTCTCTGACTATGAAATACGTGTCAAGTGCTCAAATTCTATAAAAAGAATCAGTTCTTCCAAGAATACCAGGATACCTTGATGATAAGTGTCAAATAATATGTAACTTAGATCCAGGGTTTTCTTATCGATTGCCTCTAGCCACCACCTTAAAACATTCGATCATCTCATGTTTATAGAACTTTCTTTTCTTCAAAACATTAAACATTGATTGACAAGTTTACTTTAAGATCTTAAATTACTATTTTTAAATTTATTAAAATAAACCAAATTTAAGTTTCAGATGACTGAAATTTACACCAAAAAATGATCATTATTAGTTTAAATTATATGTATTAGCTCAAATTATGACGGAAACACAAATGAATTCGACATATGTCAATTAAAAGACCAAATATATTCGTTTAACGAATATTAACTAAATAGAATTAGTAAGTATATATCATGACGTATCATTAACTGACAAACCAATAAGAAACTGAGGATTGGTAGACAATCATCCTTTTTGTAGTATGGGACTTGAAAGTGAAAACATATAACCCTATCGGGATTCGATCACAAAATTTTCATTTATGAGTCTGCTAACAATCTCTACAAACACATATTTTAGTCAGAATGAGAGTTTATGGAGATTGTAGTAATTTTGATAGTTGAATTCATGAGTCGATCTAACCTAGAGGTTAAGTGTTTATATGTGAGACCGAAGGTTCTAGGTTCGAGTCCTCTGTTCGGGATCGTGGATACACAATGTTGCGGAGTCGCATACTAGGACGAAACGGCTGTACAACGTTTCTAGATTTTCAATGGTTGTCTAACTTAGATCCACTCATGTATTCTTCAGGTCTCTGTGAAACATAGTGACTGGTGAAGTTCAGGTGTGACAGCTTAGACACAGTTATCTGTTACAGTCTTTAATTTAATTCATTTACGACCTAGAGATTCTAACGGTGATCAACCAGGTTTCCAAATTGCGAAGATTAGAAAGAGTAAAAGGATATAAACTTACAAAATTGAATCATAATGTAGAAAAATCATAAGGATTTATAATATTTGCCCCGGTTAACTCAGAAAACGACATATGAGGAGAGACCATAATCAGATGCATAATCCTCTTCTTTTAAAAGCCATTCCATACCTAAATTCCACGTCGCGCTGTTGACCCTAAATTGGTATTTTATCTGTCTGACTTGTACAAAGAACTTAATGTAACTGGACTCTTCCAGTTTACAATTATCATCGATATCACTAGATGACAATTGGATGAAGTGGGAAATGTTGAATAACGAATATTTATTTAGTAATCTACACAAACTATGATCATCAAATGATCTAAAGATTCTAGGCTTGATCCATCTATGAAATCTAATTTTGATTGCAATTGGATTTCACAATTAGTAGTAGCCAGTATAAATTGGATTCATTTTAGTTCATAATAATTACATCATTAAATAAATCATAATTTTCTATGAGAAATTAATCAATGTTATTCGAAATAACCTTTAACTAGTGTTACATCTCAATACTGATAATTATTAACTGTAATTGAAATGAAACTGATCAAATAACCATTACTTACATTTACCATTAAAGGATTTCGGGTCTTTAGTCTATAAGAAAATAAAAGAGGGGTTAAGAGTGAGAGAGAGAGAGAGGGGGGGACGAATATTTATTGATAAAAACACAATAAAATATTATTGAACGGTAAATGAAACTACTTTTAAACCTTCTAGATCTAATGAAGTTTTAAACTGATCATTCTATCTGATCTCTAACTGTTTACTTCAAATAAATAAACATTATAACAAGTCATCTATCCCATTAAAATAATTCCTATCAGGCAAGAATAAAGAACATAAAAGAATGCATATACTTTATTTCACATCAATGAAGATCAGTGAAATAATGGCAATGAATATGGCACAATTATAAAACACTAACAACATGTTATTAACAATTCGACTGTTCATCATTAATTTGATAATGTTGCCCCTTTGAAGGGCATATCAATTAAAAGGTTGAAAAGAAGTTGATACTTTGAAAAGTATACAGTTGTCCATCTTACACACCTTGGTGACTTTGATTATTTTTTACATTCTGAAGTTATTTTTTTTAATCAGCTTTACTTGTTTTACACTATTGATCTATTATAATATCTGAAAAGTATTTGAATTATAGTACGAACTAGGAATCCCAGGATTAACGCAATTGAATCAAGAACTACGACACAACAAACGAATGTATTGTATTTGGAATTCGAAATCGAGCATTCAACAAGTACAAAGGAATCATTAGTTAATTCAAACACCACATCTATTCAATTACTTTTGACAGTTGTTATTACGTAACTTTCAGTATTGACTGTCATTTACCAGAAAACTATGTTCTTGTTTTGTTTTCTTATTAGTCTTCTCTCAGAATGTTTATGTGTTAACATAAACATTCAACTGTTAGGACATTTTTGTAGTTTTCCCGTATTTATTACCATTTTTTAATATGATATAGGGTATATATATTATTCTCAAATAATAGATCTCATTTGTAGATCTTCTTCATCATATATTGATCTCACTTGGTTTACCAATGTAAAACGAGTAGTATTGGACAGTTTCATGACCTTAGTATGAAACTTCTTAGAAGTGAGAGCTCGTCTTGAGGCTTCAAAGTCTTGGTTTTATAAACTCATCAAGCTTTAGTTGTCCATTGATAATGTCTCATAAAATGACGAAACAGCGATCTAGTGTACCATGACTTTCAATGATTTTCAAATGAGATCATTCTGAGATAAATGTAACCTTCATAAAACATCTTCAACTAAATTATCGCTATTGTTTCAACATTGGAAACAGATTGAAAGGTTTTATGAAATGAATGAATTCATACCGTGATTCTAAGTTTGTTGTTCTTACTTTATTAAAAAAAAGCATCTACATAGCATAAACAGATTTGGTGTTATTTGTATTGTTTATAGTTTGCAGAATAGAGTTTTAAGAAAAAATTGAATCTGTTGTAGGTAAATAAGCATAACAATATGCAAGCATATCAATATTTTAATGTGAAAACATTTTAAGATCAATAGTCTACCCTTAAATGATCTTAACCATTGAAATTACTATAATATCAACATATGCTCACTAGTGACTGGCTTCAAGAGATATATCCTGGAGTTCTTGTGAGAAGTAGTAGCCAGTGGAGTTCAACCAGGTCAGTTGTGAGATAGTAACTCATTGAAGACAATGGTAGATGTGTCGCTCAATTTGGTGGATTAGTTGAAGTTAGACATTAACACCGTTGGATGCCGGCTCAGTGGTCTAGTGGTTAAGTGCTTGCGCGCGAAACCAGTAGGTCCTGGGTTCGAACCTCGCAGAGGGCGAGGTCGTGGATGCGCACTGGTGAGGAGTCCCACAACAGGACAAAACGGCCGTCTAGTGCTTCCAGGTTTTCCATGATGGTCTAGCTTCAACTGACTCATGATCTTAACCATTGAAATTACTATAATATCCATAAAACCCATCTGTTTTATATGAGATTAGAAAACTGTCGTAGAAACATTTTTAGATTAAAATAAAATACTGCTTTGATTCTTTCATGTATTCAGTAGGTGTATAATTACCGGCTTTTTAAAAAAAATCAAATTCCCTTAAAAAAACTATTTAAATAAACGGATGTTCAACATAATTTACGTTACTTGAAGAAATAATAATCTCTGGAAGAACTTCAAAGATATAGTACATTGAATTGATTCAAAGACTTGATTTGAAGTCTTAATTGGACAATACTTTTATTTCAATATACATCTATATTTAATTACTATTAAATAGAATAGTGATTTTGATTTAAGTTGAATGAGTTGAACTAATTTAGTTCGTATACAAAACGAGTCATTGTCTAATTCTGATAATAGAATATATTAAGCAATAAACTGTGTATCATTCAAATACAATTCTCAATTTGTAAATACAGACAAAGATTTTCACTTATCACAATTAAAAGTCGAGTGTTTAAACAATCAGGTCACTACTTCATAATTATTTTATGATTAGTGTTTCACCATCTGCAAATTAGTAACCTTGGTGTTAATTGCTATTCGCCAGATAGACGTACCTTGAATTTTGATGGAATTGTTATTGGTTGTTTGATTCAATTCTTCATCACCCAATCTAATTTGGGAACATCAGTTCTTTAAAGATTGCAAGTACATTGTATTGATGGATGCTAACTAGCACAAAACCTGGATCTGGGGCTTCCTGCTGAATATATACAGCCACACATCAAAAGTGGTGATTTTCGTAAATAATGTGAGTATATATATTAGAAAAACGTTTTCTAGCCTACTTCTGAAATGTTTACAATCGAAGAAACATCGTACCATCTACTAGATTCTTTAATTAATTCAATGACAAATACACTGATAAATTGTGTTTTAGGCTTTTCAAATCTATCAACGTATACAATTGATTATTTGTAAACTACTACAGGCTTTTGCTTAATCATAATTATAGTAACTGAATACATTTGAATATATGTGCTACACATCTTTTATTTCCTTGCTATTATGGAAGGAGACAGCATCGATTACTGATGAAAATATAATGATTAGCTAAAGTAAACATCGAAACAGTTGTTTACTATTAGAATCAATTAGGCATTTGATTTTGGTATCATATTTCTTTTTTTTACCCTAGAGATTTTGTAGGTGTAATATGGAAATACTATGTAAAACTGTTATTGAGTATGTTAGTCATAGATTAATTCATTTAGGTATATGATATATGATTCAGTTGTAACAGAACTACGTATTATCATCAAACCTAAGATGGTATGTTATTTTGATGGAGCTTTGTTCTCTGAGCTGGATGGTTTGATCGTGGGGGTTTCTTCGTTCTTCTGAACGACATCAACTTCTACCTGAAGTTTGTGCTGATGATGTCATTCAGAAGAACGATCCAGTTCAGAGAATAAGACTCCATCAAAATCATCCAGCTGAGCTACAAATCTTCTCCACTTTCATTATATAATCCCATTCAACAGTACTCTGTATGATTACAATGAATAAATGACTATAAATTATAATTTAACAGAAATCATGAACATTCCAGTGATGAAACCACTTCTTTTCAACAAATGATCAAAAAGTTTCAGATTTCTTTCCTTCATCTAATTCTAGGCAATAAGGTTCTTTTTTCAGAAAACTGAACAAATCAACTTATTTTCAGCTACACACAACTGGTGAAATGGTCAGTAGCTATTAAAGACTACAATGCATTAGAACGAAATTCATCAACGACTATTGGATTATAGTAAGTGATATAATTCAATGAAAATTTAATGTCGTAATTATGTCAAGTAGCGTAACTATACTTATTGGGAAATAGTATTTGTTATAACTTGTGTACTTATCTCCTATTAATATATAACATAATGATACCGACAATTAGAGAACGGTAATTCATCGACCCGATCAATGACGCACAAAACCCATACGATTAGGCTAGGGACTTTATTTTTCCCGCTTCCTGTCTAGTCCTGTCTGTTAAGTCCAAAACACCAATCTCATCCTCTGCGATGTAAATCACGTATTTCAAGTATACTGGGTTTAGATACAAACCAAACAGACCACATCACAACATAAAATAGAAAGTAACATTTGTACAAGATCAAGGCAAGAGTGGCTATGAATGTGGGAGATAATAATTGATAGAATGGATATAACTCAAGATTGGTAAATCGTATAATGATGACTCATAGATCAAAATAAAACTTATAATAAGAGTAACACGAATATGAATAGTTTAATTACTTAACAATTATACAATGAAAGTATACGTATAGTATTAGTACATAAATGGATCCCAATAGCTACCATTCTCGTCGAGATATGACAGTATTATATAAATACAACTGGGAAACTGTAGAACAACAAAGCTGAAGAAAAGAATATCACCTCTGACAAATAACTAAGAAACTTTGTCACTGACATTTATGATTTAACTTTAAGTGATACTTAAGAAGTGTCCTTTATTTAAAGGTCATGAAAAAAGAATTTTTTGGTTTCACGTTTACTGCTTTGTAAATACATTCGTCTGTATATCAGGAATTTACTTAAATCTGTCCCTGGAACTATACAGTTCTGACTTAATGATATAATGCTATAGGAGGTGATGAGTAACCTGAAGATCTATGGTTCGATTTTTATATGATATGACAAAAAGAATCAGTAATTTTATTTAATCTCAACAGATAGCCAGACTCAATAGCATCATGTTCTTTAAAAAAATCATCAGTATTGTGGTCTGTTTTACAGTAGCCCTGTGTATCTTTTCACTTACATTTTGTTTATCAACTAATCACTAAATGTGTGCAAAACTGGTACATAAATAAGTGTATTTGGTTCAGTGTCCTTTTTTTGTACAGAGTCAATAAAACTTTATTGTGCGAGATTTTGTGTTTTTACTTGACGTCGTGGGAATTAAACGAATTCCCTTCTCCAAATAACAAGAAGTATATTACATGACCTAATAGAATTTATTCGCTGGAAATAATTTACTTCAAGAAATAGTACCAATTGCATTTATCATTACTGAATAATATTACACCCCTGAATCAAGTCAACGTTGATAATCCAACAAATCGGTACATTAAATGAGACGAACTCATTCATAAATATACATCAAAATCACTACTACTCAAATCTATTATGTATTATTATTCATATGGATTTGTGTTTTGTCGTTATTGAATATCAGAACTAAAAAAGATCAATCTGTCTTGGTTTATGGACTCCTTCAACATACGTCTGAATGCTACCTACCGTTAAAATTTTCTTTTCTTTCATGAATAATATCTGAGAGTGATTGAGTTGTTGGTCTAATTTGAAACTCATCTGCTAAAGTCCTTCATGAAATATGAACAAAAGTAAGATTTTAGTCTTTACAACCAATAATTAACATTAAATTCACTTGGTGTTGTTTTTTACTTGTATCTTCCCATTGTTATTTAGGATTGCAATTGATTAGTCTCATGTTGGCATATGTACATCTTGTGCGGATTGCCTCGATATAGCCTTAAGTCACAAGTTATTTAATCAAAGATGACTAGTGACTAGTAGTGGAATCAAGAACGTGTGTTTCGTCCTATTTGAAACTCGTCAGCTAAATGTACCTGCATCACAGAGTTGACGTTCACTTTGGGACTCGAACGCAATACTGTTCGCTTCAAACATCATCGCGTTTTTCCACTTACCTATTGAGTCTTGATCATCAATATTATACTCCATGAATAATCTGTACGTTTTTCATAACTCATTCAGTGATTGTATAACACATCTAACTTTAAATTGATCAATACTGGTTTCAAATTTCGGAATGAATATCAGTTATACAATATAAATATATCTATTTGACAAACCCCAAATAAGATGATACCTACTATACTTATTATCTTATCATCAAATAATTTGATAATTTGAAAATATACAATCAGTAATTATGATCTATCTAAATAGTAGTTTTAAATAAATGTACAAAAAAAAGAGTAGGGAAAGAAAGAATGATTAGTAGACCTCATTTTTACTTAACTTACCCGAACAATCATTTCATAACTACCATGAATAGTTTCTGTTTTAACTGAATTCATAAGGAAATGAAAGGAAATGTATAATACCAACCAAATATTAATCCAATACATTGTAATAGAATAGTAATAATAATATTACTATTATTGTTGTTGTTATGGTTGTTGTTAAGGTATGGTATCATAATCATGAATAGAAAAAAATCTATTAAATTGTAAACATTTAAACTATTAGTTTATTTATAACATACATTTATGTATTTACCACACATGCCAAATATGAATAAACAGTAGACATATATACCCATAGAAACAGAATTTAAATAGTGAGTTGTTGTTTTCTTTCTTTCTTTCTTTCTTGTTTCTCTCACTCTCCCTCTCTCGCTCTCCCCCCCTCTCTCTCTCTATCTCTTATTCTCTATATCAAAAAATGTAAATACAAAATGTAGACTGCACTATTTATGTAACGTTGTAATTAATTCAATCAATCATTTACTATAGACATGATTGTAGTTTAAGTTTACTCAAATGTATAAAGAAAACATTAATTCTCTTTTTTTTAATTTTAATTAAGATTCCTAATAATGATTCCTAATAGTTGCTAATACCAAATAGAAGTTTAAAAATACTTACCTAAATGAAATGTACACACGCACACACACACATGCACATAAACACAAATTTAACGAGTAGATCAATGAATAAACGTCTGGTTTATCTGTTTCATTGGTTTTAAAGAACATTATTTAGTCCCTTTGATAAATTTCGATGATGTAATAAGAAGACGAAGATTATCAGAACTATGTGATATTATTAGTGCAATACATTTCGAACAATCTGACCACACATATATACTTGTTAAAAACATTTATATATGAAAACTGAAGATCAACTAGACTGGGAATGGGTTAAGAGGAGACAAGGTGGAGTAATCGTGATCTCAAAATTAGGGTGTGTACCAAAGTGATTGCAGAAACAAATACAATCAAGTGACCCAATAAGAGTAGAGGATAAATATCCATCATCCTCTATTGCAAAACATATAATCGAAACAGGCCATAAGATTGATCTTAACTCGGCTTTTGTGGTATTGTTTAAAAGTGTAAATGGTGTATACTAAAGTTTATTGAAGCCTTAGCCATACGAAAATTCAAACCCCCTTTGTGTGATCAAAAGCAGTTTGTTCTCATCTTAAACCTACCCTGGTAATATTGACTTATTATCCAAAGTGATTAGGTGTCATATGTTCTTAACAAGTATATGTGTAGTCAGTTTGTTCGAAATGTATTGCGCTAATATAACACATAGTTCTGATAATCTTCGTCTTCTTATTACATTATCGAAAGAACATTAAGCAACATTGGTAAAATAAAACACTACTGAGTTGAGTCAGAAACAAATGCTTAAGTAATCAATAAGTTGTTGAATTCATGAGCCGATTTAAGCTAGACAACCATTGAAAACATGGTAGTTTTGTCCTAGTACGGGACTCCTCAACAGTGAGCATCCATGATATCACACGGCGGACTCGAATTCAGGACATTCCGTCTCGTGCGCGAATGCTTAACCTTTAGATCACTGAACCGGTATCCAACGGTGTTTATATCTAACTTCAATAGATCCATGATCTTGCGAAACATTACATCCATTGTCTGAGGTAGATAACTGTCTCCACTCGACACGGACTGGACCCCACTGTTTACGGCTTCTCACTAGAACTTTAGGAAATCACTGGTGAGCACATAGTTATTATCAGAATGGAGAACGAAGAGTCCCATACTAGGACGAAACAGCTGTCCAGTGCTTACAGGTTTTCAATAGCGGTCTGGCTTAGATCAACATATGAATTCAACCGTTAAAATTACTACAATCTCCACAAATCCCCATTCTTATAATCACTAAGAATAAAAATCAGTAAAAATTCAGTTAGTCAAAAACAGATTTATTATGTCAGTTGATGAAAGGTAGTCGATAAGAAATATAATCTCTAGGTTTCTTGCTAGTTGGAACCAGTAAGCAACGAGTACTTACAACGCTAAGAGAAACAAAACGACCTTTAAAATTTCAACACTCACGACCCGTCTTTACAGTCTCAGACTTTAAAACTGAGCTATTCGGACGGTTGATGGCTTTCTGTAGCATTGAGTCATGTACAGATGTTTGATTACTAACTAATGACTGAAAGGATTATTTGTGAAAAGAAATTATATAGTATTTACATAATATATATATAGCCTTCGATCATCAGTTTGCATCTCGTGATGTGTCCTGCAATCTGAACTGCCTTTTCGTCTGGTCATCAAGTATTTTGCGTATACCGTGCTTTCGACGTACTAAAACTCTTCACTCGGTTTGACGACTGTGATAACTTTGAAGTCACGTTCTGCAACATACTACTGACAAGGAATTATGTGATTAGTGTCCACTACACTACTACCTCCAGCTACCTGACATCTTAGAGTGGTGGATGCGATAATGAATTACCTAATCTAGTGCTTATATGGAAAGGTGGTTGACAGAATTCCATCAAGACTAATGAACTAGACAAACCTCTATCTGATAACTACTCAGCTATCAATCAGCTGTGCAGGTTTATTGGCATTAATATTAAGATGTATTTATATAATAGTTTTGTATTTGTTACCCTTCAAGCTTTTTAACTCTGCATTCATACAACAATGTAGTATTCATACGACATTATTAATATAGTCCAAACTCTCCATTCAACATACGATTTCTATTCACTTAAAATCACTAGCTGAGAATTCCTGTAACGTATAAATATAGTAAGAATCCACACGTCAATTTCCAAATATATGAGCACTTTTGTTATTTGGATCCGTTCTTATTTCAATTTTCAGTTTGTTATTTCGGATTTCGCATACAGAGATATGTCTCTTATCAATTTACTAACATGAACAGTGAACTACAACAAAGGTTCACAGAAGTCGGTGAATCATTTTAAGGAGTTAGATTGGATAGCTGTTTGATGCTAGTTTCATATTACTTCCTAGACGTATATACCAATCAACATTTTATATAGCTGCCGGCTTGATAACTTTAGAAAAACAACAAATATGAGCTCAAAGATTTACATTTACTACATCTTTCAATGTATAACATTCAGCCGTTGATATTCAATGTCTTCGGTAATTTCTGTCACATTTATGGTATAGTTTAACATTACGTGTCAAGAGTTCTCATCAAAACTTTAGAAAAACATCTTTGAGTAAGTTATTAGTACGTATATGATTACTAGTAAGATCAATCTCAGTTCTAGTTTGTAAATTAATTAGGTTATTTTTAGTCTACTCTTCATTTTCATATATTCAATCGATTGTTCGCGGAATGAATATGGTAGCTAGATTGATTTAATTGAATCCTCTGAAAGTTCAAATTAGATAATTTTACATCCATTTGATTAAATTAGTAAATATTGTATTTACTAATGAAAGATGAAGTTAAAAGAAAGTACTGGCTGTCACAGGGTTTGAACCACAAGATTAATGAACCAGTATCTTAAAGATTAAAATGCATGACATTTGTTGTATCTAGTTTATACGTAAAAAGCACAAATGCAATGAGCCAGTTACAGATTTCAAATGATTCAGCTCCGGTTTACAATTTGATAGCTACCTATGACGAGACTATAAGTTATGGACAAACCAATCAGGTGTGTGATAACAGGTCTCGGATTTTGGCGCGAAATTCAACCAACGATTTGGTTCAATAGTTTTGGCATTATAGCTGATGTCACTTCGTGATCAAAACCCTAAATCTAATTCCTAACCCTAACCATCAACTGGGAATCTGTAATAATTAGGAGTATTTGAATTATAGTATGAACTAAGAGTCCCAGAAATAACGTAATCGGGTCAAAAAGTACTAGATAAGCACAAACGAATGTACTGTATTTGGAATTCGAAATCAAGCATTCAACAAGTACAAAGGAATCATTAATTCATTCAAACACTACAAAATCATAATTCGAATTCGTCACACCGGTATATAACCTTCATTTTATCCTAGTTATTAGGTGAACACTATGAAGGTCAATTTAGCGTCGCTTGAATGTCGTCCATAAATTATAGTCGCACGCTTCCTATTTATTTGTCAGTACGGTGAAATGTTCAATAACTGATTTGAGATTGATTCATGGTTGATAACTGAGTATCACAGTTTTACTTGGGTATGCAGTTAGGAATGTAATCCAGAAGCCTATAATCTGAAAACTAGAGTAATCCATGCTTTCGTCCAAAATGCATCATCATCAACAGATATACTCTCGAAGTCGTTTCAAACACTGAAGCTGAAGTAATTGTTTTCGCTCTAAAACTTAGTGGATACCATTGAGTGAAACATCAATAGTTCCTATTTTAAACGATAGATTATTGGCCTATGTTAAAATGTCTATTTAACCGTAATCCTTTACAGAATACACATCTGCCAACAAAGACTGATCAAAAGCTAATTCTGAGTATCAACAAAGGGAGAGCTCAAACGCTTATCATTCCCTTTATTTGTAAGTGCTGATCAATCAATATCAACCAAGTATATTGTGTATATCAAGCTTAGGGAGGTTAAATGAGAGGGTCAAGATTGTAAAATATTTGAGTACTGAAAACAATCGACAATATACTCATGACAAAATATCTTTGTTTATTTTCATCCTTTATATGGGATACCCTCGAATCATTGAGAGAAGTAATGTACTGTGTGAGATTGAAATCAGCATTTCTAATGATAGCAGTAAAAACATTGTTATTGATCATTGTTCGCAAGCCTAAAATTTGTAATAACAAGACGTCTATTAGTGAAGCGATAAAAGTCTGTTTGTTTCAAAAGACAATGTCAGTTGCAAAACAAAGTTATTTTCTAGAATATTAAAGAGAATACGTATGTGTTGTGTCAGATTTTTCAACGATTTGTCATATAAAAACGTGTGAATACAGAGTTTATGAACTACCCTATTAATAAGAAATCATTTAAAGTGTTTAATTTTAAGGTTACCCCTCGTTAAGGAGCATAGGCCACCCACCAGCACTCTCCATCCAACCCTGACCTGGCCAAACCTTTCCAGTTGTTTCCAGTTACTATTCATTCTTTTGATGTCTGCTTCCAATTCACGACTCAGTGTGTTCTTCAGCCTTCCTCTTTGTCGTTTCTCTTCAGGACTCCAGGTTAGCATAGCACTCTCTAAATCCGGATTCCAACAAATTTTCCAACAACGGATGATCATATCACAGATTAACCGAACCAACGGTTTCCAAAAAGTAGGTCTAAATGTAATGTATTTATCGTAATACCCTACAATTCCGAGTTTGACCATGGGTTCGAACAACGGAGAATTTTTAAACTATAAAAGTCTACTTTGTTGATGAGTTAATCAAACTTGGATTGATGGGTTTTGGAATGTTGCCTAAAATTCAAACGTGCTGACAGATAGGACTGAGCTAATTAAGAATTATCAATATTCAGACTTAAAATTGATAATATAGGAAGAATAAAATACAAAGACCTAAGTTTATGAATTTTCAAGAATAAATTAAAGGTCCTGGATATTTAAAATCAAAGATTTAACTGGATTATCATTCATATTCTTTTGTAACCAGTCAAGAAAATAAGACTATCTTTGGAAGTAAATTACTACCTACAACTAGCTAGTCACAATTAAAGCCTCACTTAAATATTGATATAGTGGTATTTGTAAAGATTATTGAATTATCATTGTTTAAATCACTAATTGATATTAGCTAGGCCACCATTATTTGTTTATCAACGACGTAACAATAAGTGCAGTAATATCGAAAACACATTCAATATGTCTCTTAACATCAGACAGATGTAAATGTACCCAAATTGTAACTGAAATTTCAATATTTACATCTGTTTACGCTGATATATACATGTTAGAAGTAATTGGTAGATTTTTCATTCTGTCTTTCAAGTGACTAACCCTACCGGCAATCAACAACTATAGCCCCAAACTGCCCTGTTACGGCCGAGGACGGGGAGAGTCCGCTCTCCCTCTCCAAATGCTCTCACATGGCCACGCGTATATAGCCTCTGCCAGGGAAGTCCTCACCATTGCCTTCTCATGGCATTACTGTTGTTTACCAAATTAAGAGGACGAAAAGCGAATGTCCGTCGCTTTAACCGGGTTGGTGGATATGGAGAGTCCACCTAGGGGAGTTGGCAAACCCTGATTCCAAACTAATGATGCACATAGGCTCCAGTATCCCGAAGGAACAAATGGCGTATGAACCAATCGTTGGTCACCGGCTACCATGAGACTCGATCTCCCTACGATGCTCCACTGTCTTGTGGATCAGACCTTCAGGCTTCGGATGTGGCCCCCTAAGAAAACCACCTGCACCGGTCCGGGCATCCGGGCAGTATCACAGCCCTCATACATATCGGATGGGATTTGTGTGGCGCATATGTATTTGGTGCCTCCTTGTACCAATATCTATGTGTTAAAATAAATAAATAAATAACCAATGAAACATGGTTTGACATTATTTCAACAAGATCTTCATTTAATTTAATTATGTATAAACAAAGAATGAGTACTTGAAAATCTAGGATATTTTAAAACACCATTCACATGATGGAAAACATCTTTTACAGTAGCGAGCTTACAAATACAGAACAAGGGGGTATAATCTTGGATACTATACCCAGCAGAACATCAAGTTTAACAGAATATTAGAAATAGAGTAACATCGGTCAAATAATTATTTACACTAGTAGTTAACAAACAACATACAGAACTCTTTGAAGTCGTCTTATCGGGCAAAATACGGAAGCAAGTGATTTTTGTTTACTATCCATAATAATAAGTTCTCGAAAACTTCATCAAAAGATATTAAAGAAATTAACGTCCTATTTAAAAATCAAATCTATAAAATCAACACTGAATAGTTCAAAACCCATCTGAATCAGTATTGTGTGCAAACTAATAGTTTCACACTAACCAGAAGACTGAACAGCGGTGAAAGGCAAAGTAAACATTATTTAAAGATTAAAATGGATCAACTAAGAGAAGCACTGAGTTGAAAAAAATCGGATTCAAACTACGTATACATACACAGAGACACGAACTAGCCGTGAAGAGATATGATATGAGATTATGAATGGTATCGGAAGATTTTCGATTTCTGGATATGGTGAATTATCACTTATGTCAATTGTTCCACAATATATCTTAGCACAATGAAAAATTCTAATACATATATGGTTGTAAGCAGCTGATGAGAAACCAAAAAATATAATGAATTCATGTTATTCTGCATCAATCTTCATTCTGGCTTTATTTAAATTCATAAAGGGAACTAATTGCGTGAAATTATCACACTACCGAAAACTTTCTAAAAGTATGTGAATTCCAGTTACTAATTCACTTGTAGAAGTAATCTCCGAATTCAAGTGATGAAGCTCAGGTGATATACAAACGAAATACTGGTGTAGAAGCATAAACGCGTGTATGATTGTTAACCGTTTATGACTCTGTACGATTAAAAAATCAGTCGATAGAACAAGATACAGCTCAATAACTTACACATTGCATTACACTATTTTTTCAGAATTATTTTTTAATTCACAATATTTAGTGACATTGGTGCTCATATTAAATAGTGTATATCCCACTTTTCACCCCCTTTCTAATGATTAAAAATAATTTTTATATTCAAATACATTTTTATTGAGATGCACCACATATTTTACTCACATAATTTTATGCTACTTTATAAATATTTCAGTAGTAAACTTTGTTGAAAGGAAAATCCAAATGGTTAAAGGTTGTCGATGAATACAGAGCTGATTGAATTAGTCATACCATGACGAAACTTATATGGAACATAAAAATATATTCTGAAATTAGAACAAAAAAAATATCATTCAAAGGTTAACTAGAGTTCCTTCTAACGTATAAATTAATCTATATCCAACGGTAAACTTTAAACCTTGTTTAGTAAATTAAAAAAAATAATAATAAATTATTGGGTTCAAAATTCATCTGAAACGTGAAACATTTGCGTGAAGTGCCGTAAACGTTCCTAATAAGTAACCAATTCACCATTTCAAAGCAATTGGATTTACTATTAGAAATATATTTACAAATTTATGTGTCAAGTTTTTTTTCATTTTGATCGTTATCCCACAAATTAAGACCTACAGATGTTAACAAAGACTGGAAACAAAACTTTCTAACAGAATAATGTTTCATATGAGATGAACAAACTAACTACAGGTAAGAAACTGTCCTGATCAAATTTGTTTGAACTTTATCTAAACCATTTCTGTTATTGTAACTTGAAAACATGGTGATGTCCTCTTACAGACGACATTTGCTCAGTGGTAACGTCTCTGACTGTGAAGCTGGGTGACACGAGATCGAATCCGCCAGGGAGCACCAGTTCCCTCAAGATTACAGGTACACCTTGCTGACGAGTGCCAAGTAGCACGAAACCCGGGTCCAGGGTTTCCTGTTGACTACCTCCAACCACCATCTAATCTCAGTATATAGTGTCCGCAATGTCGAGCCACCTAGACTGGTGGCCACATTGCAACATGGGCGATAGCATTCGATCTGCACTAAATAAGGACTTGACACACATGACATTGATCACCACCCAGTGATCAATCAATTGTGTTATTTGATCATTTATTCATGATGTCGTTAACATTACAAGATACCTCTCTAAACCATATCAAATTTCTGCTGTATATTTATGAAGGT